TGGCCCCGCTGTTTTCCCACGGCAAACAAGAAGGTTTACCCATGTGGCGTCGGTCTTTTGAGGCCAACATGCCTTTCTTGCAGAGCATTTTGACATCAAATGGCCTGTGCTCTTGCAGATATAATAAATCTGCGTATAATTTGCTCGTAGCATAAAGCTCTGATGACATTCGTGATATTTGCGGATACTTCAAACGCCGTCAGCTGCTGTAAACGACACTCTAAACTCGCCGCTTGTGATCAAATTATTGTCTTAAGTCTATTGGAGAATGTAGCGCTAGTGAGACTGTCAGCAGGTTGAGGCAAAACGATCTTGTAGGGTACGACGTTAACGTTCGAAATCCGGAGGTAGCAAAAATGAAATGAGAATTTGGCTCAGCGCTGCATACATGCTTTGTCAATTGGCAGTGGCAGATGTGGCCATGGTAACAACGAATATGTGTACGTACTTTCCATTATTTTTTGCCGCAGGAAGCAAAGGTATACGGGTCTTCCTCGTTATCGAGTTGCACTACTTTGCTACCGTAATCTTTACCTAGAATGGACAGATTTCATTGCTTCCAAGTCATCCACGTGAGAATCTCGTGCATGACGTGCACAACAGGATATAGCATAATGGACATTTCCTTTATCGTATTGAAAGTTTGGAATGCATAGCACTGCCTTCATTCCTGTGAGCATTATGTTCGATTGCATTCATCATGAATCAAGTCTTTTCTACTGCTTCACCTTACCCGCGATGGTGTCACTCGATGACAAAGCCTAGACCTCTGCTTGATTCCTAGTCAGCGCAATCTCGGCTTCTGGTTCATTACAAAAATATCAATCCTGTTAACGGCTTCACACGAGCACGTAACATAATTCTAAAAAAGAGATCTTACTGTCTCGTTTCGTCTATGCCGTATGCAGTCGTTTGACTGTAAACCTGTCTAGCACAACTGTTGTCACTCACTGTCGCCATCCTCAGCTCTTCTGAAGTGGTCGTCGACACCATCAAAAGAAAAGTCCGTAACAGCCTGCTTCGACAAGAAGGCGTTGTCTGTAGCAAACAGCATCGTGGAAACTCACCATTCTGGCCTTCTTTTTAAATCTGACACGCTCCTGAAAGTAAGCGCTGACCTCAAGAACTTGCTTGCAAAACAGAGGATTTGAATATAAAGAATCTTTACGATGTGATTGACAAGTATGTCCACGAATCAAACTTGGACCATTGGAAGTCGTATGTGGGAAACTTCAAGAACAGTGTTTCCGAAAGTAATGGAGCTGTGTTTTACGATGCCCTTATCTATTACTTTGGGATTAACGGTTTTGAGAAGATTATGGAAACTTTAAACATCCAGAAAACTGGTTTGGAAACATTGGTTTTGTTTCCAAACAAAGTGGGTGGCTGGAAGAACAAAGTGGGTGGCTGGCAGGTGATATATCGCCTGAAAAGATTTTTACGGACTTTTTGATGCTAAATACGAAAACTGTTGATGAAATTTTGAATGACCCGTTGCTTGTACATTGGATGGACTACCTACAATGGTTCAAACAAAAACACCCAAACGATAACACCACGATTTTTGGAACACTGGAAAAGTCCGCAACAAAGACATAACCACTGCAACTGCGGAGGTGGACCCTGCTCTAGCACCGGACGATATATATGAGCAGTGGCTAATTACTGACGCAACACCGGGCAAAGTTCTCGAGAGATTGCAGTTGACGGATGAATATAAAGACATTAAAGTTTTTCTGACAGCCCAGATTTCCCGCAATGGTCTGCGTACATACAACACTACAACGCATTACACCCGGAGAGTCGAACGACGCTTTTTGAAACGCTTAGTAACAATTATGATAGCAAACAAATAGGAAGGTATCTGGATTTCCTATGGAATGACTGGATGACAAAGGAATCGAGCCCAGCGGATGTCTATGTTATTTTGGAGCTTGACAAAATCGACCCTGCTCGTGTTTTAGTGCGGCAGCTAGACACCTGGATAGATTATATCAACTGGTTTTGCAAAAACACAAAAACTAAGCTGGAAGTCGTGCTTTCTGATTCGATGTATAACTACCCCAAATTGGTGGATATGGCATATACTGGGCAAATGCATCCATTTACTGGAGTTGCACGGGATGTGCTAGAAGAGCTTATGGAAATTTGGTATCGAAAAGACACGTCTCCAACTAACCTTTTCATACTTTTCGGTCTTGACCAGATCAAAGGCAATATTGTTGAAAAGCCTCGTTTCAGTTTTTGGTTGAAATATGCAGAAAAATTCAAGCGAGATAAAGCGAACGAGATAAATAAACTGGCATTGAAGAAGAAAAATGGCACATATCAAAACCCTACTGCTGTGTCGATATTGAAGACTTTCTATAATATGAAAGATCTCGTGGACATGTATCAGCAGGCAGATCCCAACAAATTGCAGCATCTTACACAAAAATTTTGCAACCAATTCAGTTACGCGCTGGACAGAACCAATAAAGATCACGTGGAGATAATTCAATTATTGGTACCGGCAAAAATTTCTGATAGAATGATGGGCTTCAAGCAGAAGAGTTCGGCGGGATGGACTGATAGTGACACCCCAGCAAAAAAAAGCAAGCAATCGATGATCTCGACTGATAGCCAAACCTCTTCGACGAAGAAGTAACGTTTGGGGAGACCGACTGATAGCCAGACCCCTCCGAAAAAGAGGAAGACTGCACCCTGAATATGCGCGTTATCGCGGACACTGGGGACGTGGTCTATCTTCTTCAGATCCTGGATGTTTTCTATTCGCGATAGAAGTGTTGTGGATGGAATTCAGTGATCTCAACCGAAATGATAAGACAGCAATAACGGAATGAAAGCCAGTTACGTCAGACATTTATGATGCAAGTTGAGAGTACATACAGTGTTGATATATCAGTGAGATTTATTTTCTACTATGCATTAGCGTATACTTTTATTGTTTTGCCCGTTGGCTTTTCAAACGCATTGATCGAATATATGCACTACTGTCATTAACTCTGAAGCCTTTATGCCGATGATATTAGTGTGTAATCACAAGCTAATGTGTCTCTTTGCAGTCGAATGCTTCAACGTCTACATCTGCTCAACCGCTGACGTTGCTCGACAGTGTTCATTGAGACCAGTCATGACGTGAGAACGGGGGTGTCTGTTGTCATATGCCACCGAGTTATATGTGCTCGTGGCAGTTGGCAGTTGGAATAACGAGGGACAAGACATTGAAGAACAGAGGCGTAGAACGGTTGCTCGAAGCGCAGGTAGGTACAGAGGTACTCAGTCTGGAATTGGCAGCAAACAGAGCAAGTCGTCCTAGTGAACACAGCGTAGCTAAGTAAACATATTAATTGTGTGTCAGAAGTACGCATTCGGTGTTTTTTTTTTTGGAGAGGCAAGAAAAACATGGTACTAGCTAGCTACACAAAGCTGACGCATAGGAGATTGCAACAGTGTCAGCTGCCACGATTATCAAAATTATCGCGCAGCCTGCGTAACGTATTTATTACGCAATAAACATATCTTCAATTACACATAATGACGAGTACGACGTGGTGACGATCTAATATTTTTGACGTAAGGGCTAAGCGCTTGTTGGAGTCTTAATCAATTGTGCTTCAGACACCAATATTTAAAAATCATTTGCTTGGACCCAACAATATCGAAAGTGTCTAAGGTAAATAAAAACCAAAAATGCTGCAATTTTGCGCGGTCACGGAAGCCACACAAAAGCGATTATTGACGCCTATTTGGCTGTTGCTGGCATTGTAACGACAAACCACAGGCATGGGTAGGTCGACGATACCGAGCTTGGACGACTGGTACAGTGTGACTGCGAGGGATGAAGCCATTGGCGACGTTGACGAACGGCATCGCCGATACCTGGAATCATGGAAACAAGCATCTAGATTTTGGTAGTGGTCATTTCGATGAATGGCAAGTTAAGGAGTAACGTTTTTGGATAAGGGACCACTTGTTGAGTTAACGTCATGTCTGAAGATGTACAACGTATTGACAGTAGCTGAAAACAAGAGGAGAGTTTGTCGAGTGTCTCAGAAGCGGTACCAACCAGACCAATTTCGACGTGGTACTCTAACCAATAATTTGTATGTCTTCTCCACCACTAAGGTACCACGACTCTTCTTACGTGTCAATGTGTTTACGTATTAACGCTAAAGGTATTACGAATTGAACCAAATCAGCTGTACTGGAACAAATGTGAGTCAGTGGTATTCTTTGAAGCATTGCACCTGCAAGTAATATCACCATCGGACACCAGAAACCAGCAATTGCATTTGCGACAGTTGCTGACTCAATAAATGTCGAATTTGCTGGTTTAAAAGCTGGATTCTAAACCGTCATTCGAGATAAGCGGGGCTCGGACAAGTACAACTACCACCAGCCGATGGCGTTAATAAGTGAATGCAGAGTCGGTAGTAGTAGGATACGCACCGACTTTTACTATACTTTCATGAACACTCGTATGGTTTTACGAGAGAACGCTGTAACTTTCGCCATTGTGGCGCTTGTCGTATCCCCAATATAGTTCAGCTTCGATTGTACGAATGGCATCTTAGCTTTACTGTCATAAGATAACGCCTGTTGCAGGTTTTACGTACCTCTAAATTGTTGGTAGATCTTATAGGGCAGTCGACATCCGCAATAGACGTTCAAGGTGACAACAAAGCTTTGCGCATCAACTTGTTCTCTGACGAAATTCCTTACAAGTTCTTTTACTTTCGAGTCAATTGTTTTAGGAAGAAGTTCTGTAAGCTTTGCGTTGGTTGAACAATACGAATAAATGATACCCACACACATTATATACCAAAATCTTACTCTCTGTCGGTCCAGCAAACACGTTTATCGTCAAAAATCTGAGCCAACTCGGTGAATATGACGCCATATCAACGCCAATCAATACTAACAATTGGGACAAAAATCTACCGCAAGTCCCACACCATTGCCACTCGCACCTACACGTTTGTTTCAGCTCCTTAACGCTACGATAGTCGAGTAGTCTGCAGACACTTCATACATTTGTACGCTCTGGCACCCGCGGGCAGGCTTAGGAGAGTATTACAGTTCTTGCATCGCATCATTTCTTGGGCTAACGATAACGACGTTACAGACACACAACAGATTGCGTTAGAATAGGAGCACATAAATGTTTCAGCCAACTTACTTGTTGTAGTTGATAACTTGGACACGCCATGACACGACGGACATTTGACGGCAGACGCGCCATTCTTCACGATCAAGTGTTTGTTGCAGTGACCACAACTCACAACTTTAGTGTCCCGGACATTGATACCAGATAGTGAGGGATCCTTACGCAGACTTGTTCCGGATTCCATTGACCGCACCGACGATTTTTTCTTCTCACTGCTAAACCCTGGAACTACAGATTGGTTTGTCTTCTTCACAGAGGCAAGCTGAAGGCAATGGGGGCACACAATCTCCGAAGGGCTAAGACCGTCGGGAAGTTCTAGTACGTTGTTGCAGTTGACGCACACAAAATCGTGATCCTCAGTAGAGGAAAGTCTGTAGAAGGCTCTATCGTTGGTAGCATTGCCATCGTCCACAACAGAAAAAAGTGTGGGATCAGCTGTCGAAGGGCGGCTATCGGACGCGACCGCAACTGGCTTCTGGCAATAAGAGCAAGGCACAACGCACAGATTGGCTTGCATAGGAGTATATACTACTTGACGGCAGTGAAAGCAACGAGTAGCGCATGTAGTGCTATCACAATGTGAGCTAGTTGACAAGGCCTGCTCGGGATCTAAGATTCCTATCTGGTTCGCCTGTTCTAGCGCACCCTCTTCCCCAAGCAATCTCAACATGCTCAACGCATACTTGCGCCATCGTCGCCATTTGCTATCTTGGGAAAAACTAACCAAGATTTCCACCAACTTGCCGTAACCCACGTGCTCGTACAAGAAGTTGCGAATTTTTGAAGATGCGCAAAATCGACGCAGTAGTGTAAACAGTATTGACACATCCAGGTCGTCTTCAAACGATTCCCAGTGAAAAAGTACGTGCAGCAAACCTGTCACGAGCCATTCGCTTCGCGCCGGCTCCTGTTCCGTTGACTGATCATGTTCCACCGACTGGACAAGGGGAACCACACCAACTGCAACTTCCAGCAGAGCTACCACACACTCCATCGAGTACACGCTAATCTGTAGCGAAGGGAACACAAGTTCCCTCAGTCGAGTCTCGAAATCTTTCAGCACGTCATTACCCAATACAGCTAATGCACTGTCACTATGGCATAAACTTTTTAATCCTTCGCATGAAGCAAGAAACACATCGGACGATTTGTGGCCATCAACAAAAGTTGTTAGCGCCTTGGTATATACGCTCATTGTGCTTCTGAAAAACACATGCTTGTCCTCTGTTTCTATCAAGGATCCTTCTGTAGACACGACAGCTGCTTCCAAAAAGGGAAGTCCAGAAACAAAGGTCAAGCAAAACTTTGCCCTGAGCTCTGAAGTGACAAGGTCTTCACTGGTTAAAAAGATGGATGGAAACCAATCCATTATTCTCACAATGTGCTTCAAAAGTAAAGACTCCTGAAACACCCGTTCACGATAAGCGCTTCCACGGGCAAGCAGGAATACCAACAGGCAGAGACCACATGCAACTTCTAAGTCCATGTTCCAGCCGTCAGAATCAGAACCAAGCAGTTTTGTAGTCAATGCAGCTTGATCCTCGCCTAATGCACCACACACTAGTTCGAAGCCGCGCACCAAGTTTGGAAGAAAATTTTCCGTCTCCATCAAAGTTTTTTTTCCAATGGCCCCACACTCCACAATGGCGTTAAAAGTCTCCAGCATTTCGGCAACACGCTCCGAGCCTTCCTCACAATCATTGTCGTCATGCTTTAAAACAGTCTCTAGTAGAATATCGACACCATTGCAAGCAACAAGCCGAGGTACTTCGTGCACACAAAGCTGTTTCAGTAGATGCCGCGTTTGATCTACCACTTCAATAAACGGTTCCACTGTCTTTTTTTGCTCATTTAACACAGACGCTAGCTTTTCAATTGCATCTTGATGCACAAGCGTAGATCGAAATGTCAGTGACTGAACCAACACTGCAAGAAAACGAGTGATAACTAGCAAAAATTTCTCCCTAAGCTTCGTTTTTTCTGGATCCTCCTTCGCGTGCTCAAATTCTTTGCTTTCTTCTTCCGCCAAATCCAGCAAATAAGCAGACACTTCCTCTGTAATCTCCATACAATCACTCGGCAACGCATCTAAATCAGTGACCTTAAGAAGCCCTTGCAGCAATGTGCAACGCTTGAACAGCCCCTCTGGGTTCGTCTTAATGTCAACATCAAGCAATTGCTGTCCCAACTCCAACAAGAACGCAGTATCGCGTTGGACCGAAGAGGCTTGCAATTGTTCGTAGAACTTGTTCATGATGGCTGGATCGCTGACGCCGTCGTGCAGGAGTTTTACAGCATTCTCTTGGTGCCGTTCTGTTCCCTTTTGCATCCAGTAAACTACAGATGCTGCGCCTTCTACAGCAATCCTCTTCATCTGGTCTGCATCAAAGATTTGGCCATTTTTCAGGAGCAGCGTCAGAGCAAGAACACCAACAACAGATGTACGCGGGTCAAAGTCTACAAAGAAACAAATCAATATTGACACCAACGTGCTTTTCTCTTCTATCGACAAGCCAAACTTTTCATCATCGAGGATGTCGGGGTGTGAAAACACGATATCAATAAGCTTGCGAGCCGCAGTGACCTGGACTGGAGGTCGCTTTGACATCACCACTATACGAAACACCAATCGTACGTTAGCGCTTTCAATCAGATTAAGCCACATTGGACAAGTTGCAAAATCAGACTCAACAAGATTGAGCACAATTTCTTCCGCCGTTTCAGCAACATCATCGACGGAGGAAAGTACGTTGCTCAAAATTGCTTGAGGCAAAACTGCACGGTGGTCATACAACGTCTTGCGAAACTCCAACGGATCACTAGACAAGAGAATAAAAATACGCCCGAGGTCCTTAGCAATTAGCTGCCCAGCGGGTGATGAGCCTTCATAATCTTCTGTTGTAGCCTCATATGCGGCCACTAAGCCATCCAATGCATCACCTGCCTCCAGAATGAGTAGTCGAATTCGACTTGAACTTGCCAACAGACCCAAAAGCTCTAGTGCACGGGTCATGGCATACTCTCGGTTTTTCTCGGTTTTCTCTTCATCCTCCACCTCTGCATCTCCTTCAGTCTTACTTGTACCCTTCCGGACAGCATGACCCCGAAGCAGCTCAAGCAAAGAAATGTGAATGCCAGCACCAATGACCAAATTGACAATAGCATCGTTCGCCAGTGCTACGCATTCTTGTTCATCATCTTCCTCGAGTTCTTGTGGGTCTTTAATCAGCTCTTTCAGAACGGCAACGCAATCATCAAAGACTGCATTAGCACGATCTTCTTTTGCTGCCCCACTGGATGCTTTAATGCCACTCACAAGAGCTTGCAAAAACTTCAAACCAGTCGTGGTCGATTCCACCGCATACAACGCCACAAACGAGTCTTTCCAGCTAGAATGTGCAATGAGAAGACGGATGATACGAATACCCATGACAAGTCGGCTGGGCTGGGAAACAATAAATTCCGTCACGACAGTCACAAGATTCGTTATCTGGTCCTCTCCCATGGAAGCAATGCGCGAGGACGCCATTTTCAGTACAAGATACAAGAGCTGTAAGAGTGCCTTGTTCAGTTGCATCTCTACAGGAGTGAGTTTGTCTGCCGGTACATCCATCCACCGACGCAATCCCATCCAAAACGCACGAAGCATTTCTTGGTCAAGCATACGTGTAACAAATTCCTCACCGCCACCAACAGCACAGCTAAGACATTTGATAGAGTTACCACGCATATCACTATCCCCTGATGAGCACGCGATGGTCATTAAAACAGGGAAATACGCCACGCTCACAACACGCTGCTGAAGATTTTGGACCATTTCACCAATATCGGGGGTAGAGGGAACCTCCAGCGGATCTAACACCGCAGCAATAGACTTTACACCGCTCAATCGAGCAAGCACATCCAAACTGTCTGCCTTTAGTACCTCATCTCGTCCAGACGCCATGAGGAAGAGCGTATCAAGCACACCAACCGAGAATGGACGCTTGTTTTCAGCCAGCGCTCGGAAGTAACGAAGCGCTGACAATCTGTTTTCGTCAGGAGGCGTCTGCAGCAGTCGATGGAAAAAGCCTGACACGTTTCGATCATAGAGCTCATCAAAGATGCTAGGATTGAACTCGCAAAGGTTCATCAAGGTCTGCGCACATAATGGAATCAGACGTTCCTTGCGCGAAAGCAAGAAGGCGGAGAGCGTAGGCACGCAGTCATGCGAGCAAATGTAGTCCACATACGCTGCCGAATCGGCGCTATAACTCATCGTAATGCTTAGCAAATTCCTTTGGAACGTAATCTCACCCACGAGCTGCTTCTCACCAGTGACGCACGCGTTTAGCTTCTTCAGCACCAAATTAAACACTTCCAGGTCGTAAATGACCTTAAGCACCTGCTTGTGTACATCATCAGCTTTTTGACCGGAAACAGCATTGTTCGAAGATTGCTTCGGCATCGTCGAGCAGAGACCACATAGAATCTCTGACGCGATCGTGAAGTCGTCGTCGCTGTCCAGCATCCACATAACTTCTTTGATGAATACTTTTTCCTCTGCCAGAAAAGTAATCAACGATGGCTCCTTTGATACCTGAATCAAAACTTGCGACGCTAACATGCGGTTTACGCGCCCGCCCTTTTGCAGAGCAGTCACAAATGAGTGGATGCTGTCTGCAGGAATCTGCTGTACGCCGCGTTGCACCTGTGAAGCTCCATTATCCACAAAGTGAATACATTCGCAAATCGTGCTTAATATAGCCTCAATGGCAACTTCGTACGACTCGTCGCGCACGTCAATACCGCTAGTGCCTAGGCTACCATCTCTGCGCAGCTTGATAAAATCTTTCAGCACAGTACACAACAAAGCTATGCCCTTATTCTGAATCATTTCGGTAATGTTCTCAGCATTTTTCTGCACAAAACGGTTTAGACAACGCGCAGCTTGCACTCGCATTTTTAACGACGACGACGAGTCAACAGATAGAAGCTTAAGCAAATGTGTGCCTCCACCCGCCGTGCGTAGAGAAGCCTGGCATGCAGTCGACTGACAAATGTCGTAAACAAGACGCAGGGCCATGCTTTCCGCCTCCGGGCCAGGACTGTGACCCAGCTGCTGCTCCATTCCCCAATTCTCCAATATTTTCACCACTTGTGCGCACGCTCCCGACTGTGCAAAAGCCTCACCGGTGGAAAGCTCGTTGCCAGCGCTGTTTTCAAGCTCAACAAGATTCGCCAGCATCTCCAGAGCAGCTTGCTGCACAAGATCCACATCAGTATTTAGCAACTGACAAAAAGATGCTACACCTCCAGCTGCATCTACATCGTTGAGCTGTGCGACGCGGTGCAGTCCCATCTTTCCGTCAGTCTCTGGTCGTCCAGTAGACAGCGTCATGGCAAGTTGCAAAATCTGTTCCACTTTGTCATCGACAGTTGAGGTAGGGTCGTCTACCTTGTGGCGCAGCCCCACAATACTAATATAATCACCAGCTTTCACGTTTCGAAAGCACCTCGTGCAGACTGGTTGCTCCTTCTCGTATGTAGGAGCCTCAATTGGAAGCTTCACCTTGTTTGTCGAGCAGTCGGCACAATGCACGTTGCCACATAGACGACAATGGTGACGGCGACGGAAGGTACCAAAGCGCACGCCGCATTGCCCGCATGCCGGTGAGTCATCGTCTCGCACAAAGATCGGTGCAAAATAGCGGTGCAATACCATCGGGAGATCGCCAGTGTTCAAGCTGCTACCTCGCACGCCCAAGTTGTTTGACATGTCCAATTGTGGCTGCACATCACTTTTCTTCTTGGCCATTTCCAACTCCTTATCCACTGCTGATGGATGTGCAACATTCTTCTGGTGTGCATCTACAGACGACTCTTCCTTCTTTGTATCCGTTATTTCGGTCGGTACCATGACAACCTCATTCATGTCTGCATCATGGCTTGTCTTCTTTTGAAACTCATCCAATCTGCTTGCATTCGTCCGCTTTGGGGACAGATCGTCTGATTTTGCTGTAAACCACTCCTCATCTGCATCATCATGCAAAGACGTTGACGCAGTGGTCTGCATCACCGCTGTATCCGCCAAATTAGTTTCATCCCGGTATCTCTCGAGCAATATTGATGTACTCATTTGAATAGTCTCATCACTCGTCCCTCCTTCAATAGAAGATAACGATCCGACCAATAAACTCTCCTCACTATTTCGGTCTTCTGTGTGTGCATATCCGTTGCTAACAATGTCGCTATCACTAGCACTGCTTCTAGAAGCTTGTCTTGTATCCTCATACATTGGTAAACATTCTCTAGTTGCCACTAAACTTGAACCAGTACCACCACCAGCAGTAGCAGCAGTAGTACCAGCAGTAGTAGTAGTCGTTAAAGAAGCACCATGTTTATTCCTTGATCCAGATCGAGATGACAGCACGGATTGAGCTCTACTCCGACGTCTAGCAGCCACCACCCGTGGATCCATCCATGTCGTTGTACGTGTATTATGATCGACAAAATAGATACGACCTTGACCATCAATAAGCTCTTCCCAGCCTTTTGGTAATGGGTCTTCCGTTGGTAAGTGCCATGAAGTCTACGAAATGGGTACAATAAGTATATAATAAAACACATAAAAATGGGTACATTTACTAGAACGTGAGAAAATTAGGTCCAAATTAAAAGCTTAAGAGCTCTAGAGAGCTCATAGAAAGACAAGAGAAGGGTTATAGATTCCTTAGCATGAAGACGCACCTCACGGGTTACGTGGTTTACGTAAAAATAACGTCCCTGTGCATCCTGTACGCGTCGCCATTTCCCGTCACGGCTGCTCATGAGACTTTCTAGTTTGTACCCTTTTTCTTATAGTTTTGAATGCAAAAAATACTCAATTTCGTCTAGTCAAGAGCCCAAATATTTTAGTCTCTTTCTCGACTTGACGACGGACTATATACATAACTTTATATAAAAAAGAGCATCAAATTGGCGTAGCAGTGTCACAAATGAGACTATAATGCTCGTGTATTTGAGTGCCAGTCAAGACAGCTGTACCGGTATCTACTGGTATTTTCTGGTATTATAAACAAGCTAGTATTGGCGAATGAATAACTGGAGTACACTGGGCTGTCGTACGCGCTTAAGCTTCTCGCGTATACCAAACTCGAAATGATAATCATTCAGTGACAACTGGATATTCAACTTCCACGACAAGAAAAGACCATCATCAGATTGCGAGTCATTCAGCTTCTGCAATGTCGTCTCGATAAACTTTCCTCGAGAACATCTCTCAGGTACAATGAACGCGATGACACTAGCTCGCCATTCTTTAGCTGCATGCTGGTAAAACGCGTGTACTAGATCGCTTCCATCTTTGCCTCGTGCACCAAATGGTGGATTGCCAATTACTATCACATGCTTATCTGCAGGCATGCAGCTCCTAGACTCAAGAAAATTACCCAGACAAACTTGGACTTGAACACCTCCAGCAACATCTATGGCTGATAATCGTACATTTCTATCTGCAATGCTATGTAATCTTTCGTCAATCTCGTAGCCAATAACATGCTGCGCTTCCGCTCGTAGCAACGCCGTGAGGAACCGACCATCGCCACAGGACGGCTCGAGCCATACCGTCTCTTTTTTCACAGAGTGCTCGAGCACTCTTTGAACCACTAGATCCACCAGCTCTACACTGGTAAAAAATTGCTGTAAATCTCTTGCATACTTTATATTCTCGCGATGAGCCGCTCGCTTGCGTTTGGCCACAGTGTACAGATCGTCATTCAAAAACTCCTGCTGCAGCGATGGTGACAGCTGCATGAACGCAGCATTGAGCCACTTTTCGCACACGCTCACGCTCTTTTGAAGTTCCAAGCGCCAACCTGAAGTGTCATCACCTAATAACCAAGTAGTTGCTGACAGTTTGCGTAGACGCTTCGTCGGTAGACGCTTGTAAACGGACGCTAGGGACAAGGAGCGATGAAGTAGACGGTCCCACTTTTGAAAGTCCACAAAGTCACGCTCGATAATGGGAAGAAACGTTTGGGATAGTAAGTGCCCCCAATGACTGTCCTTCATGTCATTGCTAGAATGCAATATTGCCAGCAGAAAGTGACCGCGTTCGACGTTATATCCTCGCAACTCTAGCATTCTGATTGAGTCCATTTAACCCATGGGTGAATTGTGAATAAAACCCATCCAAGGAAATAGTTCGATTCGGTACAGTAGTAGCAATTATTGCCAAATATTGAATTATAAAATATATTACTGAAAGAATAATGAATGAATATATTGTGAGCAAGCAAGCAGTTATCAGTGTCGATAGAATAATGATAAGAGCCACTAAAAGCTACCAAACCCAGTAAAAAAGCTACAAAAACCACTAAAAGCTACTCTTATTGTATGATATCTTCAGGTTTAAATGCAAAAAAGACTCGCCTAAAACTGAAGCAGCCGTTTTTGCTGGACGTTCATTCATTCATCCGATTGAATATTCCTATTAATCCCAATCAATGATCTCTGCTTGTGATGAATTGCGCTATCGATTGAACATTGCAATACCCAGTGCCTTATCTACCTACTGCTTATTGCTATATCTATCACAGAGCTTAGCGTCGTAGGCTACTTGGGTATAGATGAGCTAGCAGCCGCAGGCACAAATGTGTCTGGATCTGTCCATTCTTGTAAGCTGGAAGGCTTTAATGCCGGTATGAACTCACTCTGTTTACAAGCCTTTGGAGCCAAAAACTATCATCTACTGGGTCAGTATGTGTTGCTTACAAGTCTAGTACTCACACTAGCGTGTGTACCAATTGCTTTGCTCTGGTGGAACCTGGGTAACATCCTGTTAGCTGCAGGCGTTACCGACCGCGTCGCAGCACTTGCAGGTGTTTACTGCCGCTTTTCCTTGCTGTGGCTTTGGCCACGCAGCATGTTCCAAGTACTCTCGTGTTTCTACCAAGCACAGCAAATTGTGCAGCCCACAGCGGTCTCGAACGTGCTGGCGGTGATGCTGAACATTTTCCTAGTGGTCGGACTCACACATGGACGCTTTCGACTACCAGAGCTCGGATTTATAGGTTGTCCCATAGGTACAGCAGTGGCATTGTTTCTGAGACTTGTAGGCTATGTCGTGTACATGAGCTTGTACTGCGTCTGGCGCTGCGATAGCAGCTTCGTGGACGTAAACATACTGCAAACCCTCTTAGCCGTAGCAATACCGCTTGCAGGTGGCATCCTGTTTGAGAATGCGCAGCTCATGACCATGACACTTTTTGCGCGACCATAGGTGAAGTACAGCTCGGCACACACAACGCAATGATGGAGCTTTATCTCTTCGCGACCAGTCCACTTTATGCCGTTATTAGCGCTTCGGTCACCCGTATGGGAATGCATCTGGGGGCTGGTAAGCCCTCGGAGGCGCGTCTAGCCGCTAAGGTGTGCGGGAAGTGCGTTGCGTTGCTTACAGGGTTAAATGGTGTCATCGTTGTAAGTGCGCGGCGACATCTCGGCCGACTCTTCTCCATTAACCCACAAGTCACTGACAGCTTTAGTCAAATCGGTGCGCTTGCAGCAGTAGCATACTTTGTGCTGTCTTTCTTCTTCTATGCCTTCGTGAGTGTCCTTTGTAGCTTACGTACATATACAAACTCCAGTTTCTGTCTGTTTCATCTCTGACCGTGTCTTCTTGTCGTACTGTTTAGGCCGTGTTGAAAGCGCAGGCAAGGTCCATGCCCATAATGGTTGGCTTCGCCTTTGGAGCATGGCTAGTTGGTGTGCCTATGGCGTACATGCTTGGCGTGAATCAGTCTCACCCGAGTCTCGTAGGTATTTGGCACGGCATGATATGCGGCTACGCGGTGACGTCAGCTATCACGTTTACTGTGGCGATCGGGTGGCCCAACTGGCACCTTGAGGCCCAAAAAGCTGTGGCGCGTTCTCACATAAAGACGAAGCAGTTTTTACCGCCACAAGAGATCGCCATGCTGCTCGCGTAGGTTCATTGATAGAAGACCATAAATTTGAAACAACATCCATGTATGCTGACTGGACGCATTGTATTGTAACCGAACTCTCAAGACGTGACGCCTCAGCGCGACTCGCGACAGCTACACGAAGTTTACAGAGGTAGGGCATCCCACTACAAGCTGTTCTAAGTTGATCCAATGCCAACGTGGCAATCGTCCTTCGTCGATGACGACAGATCAGCCACTTCAACATACACCGTTTCGAATTCGAACGAGGTGCTTCAACCTGAGTCCCATGTCACCCGTCGCAATGACTCGGTGTCTTTGCGCGGGCCGTCGTGTGACACAGCGAGGGATCGATACATGTACCGGCTTGGCTCTGCCGAGCCTCGAGGCTTTGCTAGCACTGCTCCACGCCAACAAATTTGACCAAAGCCGGACGCCTGGAAAAATTGGCACGGATGATTGTAAGTAAAGCTCGCTTCCTCAAGAAGAAAAGCTATGCGATGGTCACCAGCCATTCAACCCTTGATTTGAGAGTAGAAACAGCATTGATGCAGATCCAGCATGGCGACTGACGGAGATTGCGGCCAGTAGCTACTTCAGCATTTCGGCGAGTTTTGTAACGGCACTCAGACCACAGTTTCCACGGTACTGAAAGGAATTATACTGATGGAAGCCGTCATCTCCGACCAGGGCTAACTGGGTGTATGTCATTAAGTCGTGCGTTGCTGTATGAGAAACCCTCTATTATGGAACCAACACAACGTACTCATGCTCCTCCATTTTGCTGGTATCTTTGATGATTCGCGCGAGGTAAACGAGATATGAAGGATGCAAGCATGGTCCCTCGCGACATGAAGCTGGCTTGAAGGTGACGGCGTTTTGTTTTTTCTCGGAAGGCCTCGACTTTGAGGTTTCTCCTAACCTAGTAGTAGTGCCTAATGCAAAACACAGACTGTGGACATTGCTTCCACGAGTTAATACTACTAGCCTGCCTAAAAAAAGCTCGGGCTGAAAGAATCGAATTGCTTGAGCGGACACATCGCCGTATTTTCTCGTCCTTCACCATCCGTTGCATGAATTAAGTCATTAATTGAAGGCGTCGATTTGACACCGACTGCTACTAACGCTCTATGCACAGCGAGTCCTTTGCAGAGACATTCACGAACGACGTGTTTTTAGCATAATCTTATCCAGAAATTTTGGACTGAAATGGACTCGTGGAGACAACCGAATCACGTCTCGGCGCGCGCCGATTGTTTCAGGAACTAATGGTATGCTATATCAGCCAATTGTGTACAGCATGCAGGGCGACAAAAAGCCGGTAATTCCTGGATCGATGCTGAGTGATGGACCTGCGGACAGAAGTGATGTCTCATATCGCTTGTAAGGTATTTTGCCGTCGCTTGTCCGTCTTAACTATTAATAACTCATGTGAAATGATTGACAGACGGTTGTTTATGTTTGTGCAAGTTTTACACGTATGCAACTTGCCATATTAACTGTGTAGTACGACGGCAGTTAGCTACAAAACATGTTGACAACGCCAGCATTGTCTGTCGTCCACGTCTATAAGAGGTGTCAGCGACCAAATAGACGACTCATCACAATCTTTAGTGGTCCCAAAATGTAGTGACGGGGAAAGTAGTGAGTCTTGCTGCAGAGGACAGCGGCGTAGCTTTGAGTCAAAAGTTAGGATACTGTATGCATCTTAGTAGGGAAAGTGCTAGCGATTTGCTCGCTGGATATGTACCCGGGTGTGGTCAACAAGCTGGTAGCGAACCACTCCATCAGCACCACGTGCGACTGGTTCGCTTGGATTTGGACACACGTTCATGTAACGGTATTCAAATTTTGTCCTAAGTTGCAAGCTTGAATTAGCCTCATGTAAGTGGCAACGATGCTGCATGAGTGATGCAATCATGAGCTTTTCGTCTTCATTACTACTGCTGTTACTGCTACTAATGTTGTTGCCTCACTGGAGACTGCGCTGCCCGGCTCTGGGCGCCTATAGCGCTGCTGCCTTTGACGGCGGTTGCGTGCGGGCTAGGGCGCTATGGGTACTCCAGTTGGAGGTCCAGAGACGGTGGTAGGATTCGCTGGCCTTTTCTTTTCGAACGGCCCTCGCTCCCGCGGCGCTGCTCATTTCTTCCGCTCATTCGATCATTTGCAGTGGCTTAAACACCAGTCCATTGCGCTACCTTATATTATATATATACACACCCGACTCTTCTTTTTCTGGCATGGATATTACTGTTCGTGTCGAGGTACAATACGTAGCACCTGAACATGCACTTATTCGCGACGTGCTACAGATGTTTCGCACGCCTGCCTGGGTGCGATTCATGGTGCGATATATCTCACCACACCTCAAGAATGCCGCACCTGCCGACAAGTCGGTCATGGATAGTCTGTCTTCCTGGATTGTCAGCAATAGCAACATCAGCAGTGGCAAGCGGCGAATTTCCTGCGTCTCTTCTAGCTCTACGACGACGACAACATCGTTGCAATCTACCGATGACTGTGTCATTTGCCTAAGTGAACTGGAAAGCGGCGTTGACAAGTACGTAGCGCTGCCGTGCGGCCACCAGTTTCATCTGCCATGCATCCGCTCATGGCTCAAGCTGCGCAGCACATGCCCGAACTGCCGTTTTCAGTTTCGTAAGGCCTTTTCCGGTAGTTATGCTGTGCGGACGCTCAACTCGGCGCTGCTGCTCAAGCAGGAGCACCGGCCTTTGCCTAAGGAGCAGATTCTTAACACGTGCGTGGGCCGCGAGACGATTCGTGCTGTTGTGAATGTCACCCTCAGCCAGATCGCCGCGCACGCAAAGCAGAGCCAATATCCATGCGTACTCAATGCGCTCATGATGCACTCAAACGGCGATAGCTTCACAGAGTCGACGGCATCTGCGGATGCGGCGTTGGCCAAGAGTAGCGGCAGCGACAAAGAGACGGAAGATGGTGGTAGTAGCGAACCCCGAGCTAAGCGAGTGCGTGTGGATTAAAAGCGTCGGTTCTAGCATGAACAAAGCAGTGAAACTATCAGATTAGGAACTTGTGTAAACTATGGAATATGCATGTATACGTGCGTGGCCGAGATAATCGCCCCTCGTGCTCTAGAACTTGTATCAAAAGTGGTTCGCATGGTGATATTTATTAATTACACTATACCGCATACTGGAAATCAAGTTAATTTCGTAGTAAGCCCAGATTTTTTTAGACATTTCGATAACCGATTTCAGAAAAGACAAAACACAACTTTCAATGGGACGACAATGATATGATGCCGGGGATCCAAGGCTTGATTACGGATGTTGAGTGCCGGGCTCGCGTGTGTTACCAACTGCAAGGTACTCGGGATAAAATTCACATATGATTTGCCAGTACTGTGCGTCTAAAAATTACTTATGGTTTAAAAATAGTGTTTGCCTATGCCATCCAGTTAAAGCATGTGCGTGAAATTCAAATTGAAATGTCGCACCATTTCATAGAAAATAGCAAGGGGCCGCCCCTTGGTCTCCATTACATGTAGTAGTAATATTTGCATAAGCATGACGAGTTGTTGTTGTCGCTTGGATGAGACATACAAACGGATTCACTTGCTTGTGAACCAAACCGGTCCGCTTCGCCTGCAAACTCCCTCGGATGTGTCAGAATTCCTCGACATGATTCTTGCCTTCTTTACCGTGTCTGATTTTCATACCATCAAAGATACGTTACCAGTTAGTGCGTCATGCGTGTCGGCTCGCAACTTATACCAAGCCTTTATGTTGACCGCCTACTGCGTATGGACAAAGGGAATGCTGTTGTCCGACAGGATTGTCTCTACACGATGGTCATTCCATCCACCCGTTTGCGGCGCAAACAGGTGGATCTACGCAGTTCGGTGGCCGAGATCAAAAGTGTTGGCCGACGTCCTGGAATTCTTTTGCATTAGAGGTAGCGAGTACGAGACAAGTGTTACCAAAACGGTCAGTCCGTTTTCCGTATCCACAGTGTTTATGGCACACAGCGATCATTATATCCACTTTCTAGCTGGGCATCTGACGCGCAGTCATTCCCTTTCGTCCAAGCAGCACTATCCTTTACAATTAACCAATTAACCGACCCATTGGCCCCACCATCTACCGTCGGTGCCAAGACTTGAGGCAAACAGGAGCTGAACGGAGAGCACTTGCCCCGTCTCCGTATACAGCAGTCATCAACTTGTCTGTTTCTATCTGCTTCTTCGTCAACGCGGTACGTACATAAATAGTCGGTCTGAACATGCTGCAAATCGGAACTAAAAGCTCCAGCCCGGTGCTCAAGCTTTGGCATCTTCGTGAAGGTTGCGACCCCACACATGAAAACATACGCAAGAACAAAAGGTCTAGCAAGAGGATGGCAGCCAAGTGCTTGCTTCTTCTGCATTTCAGGCTGGATCGCTTGCGTAGTCACGCGGCTTTTTTTGCTCATCCATTGGTAACTGCACAAGTCGTCACTTCGGGCAATGCCCCAGTCGCACGCAACGCATTAGTCCATGTTTACTGTGTGTTTACTTCTTGTCTTATTTCCATACGCTATTGTTTGCCAACACGGTATACTACTGAAGGAAACCGGACAATGCCAACCTTTTCATTTTTCACAGGTGTTCATTTACCTGATAATGGATTAATACAAATGGTATAAGGAGAATCGATAGATCTCTGTTTAGAATTAACCCATGTTCTGGCATGCAATAAAACTAAAATCAATCAGCGATGAACGATAACGTCACAATGACGTGCAAAAACCAAGAGAGACTGACGAAACTGAACAATCAACGCTTCAATGCCAGTTTCACCCTTTAATACAGCCAAATTATGCAGCATCGTCCCTATTTAACACCGCAGTCATCATCAACAGTTCCAATCCTTTGCCTGAGACCGTCTAATTGTCTTCAGGTCGTGTTGAAGTGTAGCAATCCTCGGCTATATGTCGGAGTAGATAACGCACTTTCTTAACTTCGTTTGTACAAGATGACAACCTCCTTCGGAAACTTTGACGATAAGTCGAATGAAAGCAAATGGAAAGCGCTATACATTCAAACAAGTATGCTTGTGCGACTTCATTTACTTGCTTTGCACTAGAATGAAGCTAGAATCGCTGCATTTTGCAGCTCGAAGCCTAGAGATATTACTATCAACTTTCGAAACAATGCTGCTCAGAAGTATAGGAAACATCAGAACCATTGATTGCCTTGGTGCTGTCGAGTACCGCTTCTCTTGCAGCATTACTTGGTAGCTATTCAATTACTCATATTAAAGTGTTAAGTACAAGAAAGTCTCGAAGTATGTACTCTTAGTTGCTAGAAGGGTATCAATATCTTGCTTGGAGCGGTCGAAAACTATCGTTTATTAGGCAGTGCACGTCGTTCTTCAGGTACAAGGCAATCCACTTGCCAAAGGCAAAGCAAGTCCCAAACGATATTTTTGGCGTAACGTCAAGCTCGAGATAAAAGCAAGTCTTTGGAAGTCGCTCATCAAAGTAAACTGCGCAATGCTGTTGACTTTATCGACACATCTGGTGGAAACAAAGTGCAAAAACGTCTTTACAGACGCTGATCAATGCAGTGACAATGCCTATTCAAGAGGAATGAGTATACGACTCTTACCGAACGAGTCCAACGCAACATGCTTGTTATCCTCAGAATAAGCTTGACGTCAACTTGGCAACGACGGATAACGACGGAAAATAATTGAACGGAAAGACATGAGAGCGACTTCATCGTAACAACGTCAAGCATGCTGTCGCTCGACATTCAAGCCAAGCCAGTGTACCTTCATTTGAAAGAATGTCCAAGGAAAATAGCAGTCTCAAAGGTACCAAAGTGCCAACTAGCGAGTCACAACTGTGACTTCTGCACTATTGAGAGTATGATGGAAGCAGGTCTTGCTAATCGAAGTTCATTTACATGGTTTGCTCGTAAGATGCTCAGGATTTCACCAGAACGAGTGCAAATATCTAGCAATGCATTGCAACCAGTTGTTTGATCAAAACGCCGAGTCGGAGCGAATGCATCAGGATGAAATGATGTCGTGCACTGGCATTTACGTCGCAACTATACCAGGACGTACGTCAGATTGCGATCGACACACAAAAAATAAGCACGTCTGTTTGCCAGTTCTCTAGTGAGTCACAGCAAGAAATTGTCGTGTTCCGTGCCACGAATCTACACTAGTTACACTAGCGCAGTTTTTTTTCTGCCAAATTCCTACCGATTGAAGCTTGCTTTGGGCAATACATGCCCTTCTTGCATGTTACGAGGTGCGACACAAAGTGACTCAAGCCCGTTAAATTGCACTTGGCTCAGTCTCAGTCGGCGAGTGCGTCGCTTGGTTGGTGTCGTTTCTTGGACGAGGCTTACCACCAAAGACAGGTTTGAGGTACTTCTCGTCGAGCTCAACCCATCTGCTATGTACACTCCAAGACCGGGATGGGGAGAGTGACGGTCTCAAGAGCGGCTGTTTCTCGGTACTCTCGGCGGTGTAAACGTCTTCGCTGACAGTCACTTGCCGTCCAGGCCGAGAACCTCCCGTGAGATCTAGCACACGTAGTAGTGGCCCTGTGGCCATGCCGAAGAAGACAGTCGTAAATAGCACCAGGAAAAGTGTTGAGCTCTTGAGAATTGCCGCGTGGACAGGGTTGGCCGTCGACACATTAAGCACCAGCGCAAAGGCAATGGCACCACGCAGCCCCGAAAACCACATGACGATCATATACTTGAATGGAATTTTTTGTTGCTCTGAACGTTTGCAGTTGGCCAGAAAACATAAAGGGAATGTGCTAAGTGCTCTTGCCATAAGACACGCACCAAAGTTTGCAAAAATAAAGCTCCATTCCCAAACAAGCGAATCTCGGTATGCAAAGACACTTAGTCCAAGATACAAGTAGATGAAGTTTTCGGCCAAAAACGACATTGTCGAAAGCAACTGTTTGAAAGCGAACGCACTGGCCTTTGAAATGCTGTACATGTGGTAGTGTCGGATAAAAACGCCACTAAAAAACACTGCCAGTAGTCCACTGAGCTCAAATAGATCAGCCGCTAAATAGCTGGCGTAGCAGGTAAGCAGAATAATTGACATCTCGTATATTGAGTGTTGCCGCAAAGCTGGATCCGAATGGCGTAAGAAGTAGGCAGACGAGTAGCATATGGCTCCAGATAGAGCGACCGAACCAATGCCAATACTCAGCAGTTTAAACACCATGAACATGGCTACATGTAAATTAATGTCCGAATTGCCACTTTCAACCAGCTTTTGAAATAACGTAAACATGACAATAGCTACTGCATCATTCAGCACACTTTCTCCAAACAAGAGGTTAAATAGCATGGAAGGTGCTTTGCATTTCTTGAATACAACCAATGTAGCCACTGGATCGATAGCAGAGATAAGAGATCCAAAGAGAAAAGCCTCAACCAACGTCAATTGCGTGATAATACCCAAGTTACCGAGCCAGAACAAGATACCACCGGTAGCAAGCGTCGCCAACAACGTGCCAACAATTGCAAGCAGTAAAATAGCAAAGAAATTGTCAAAAAACCCTTTGCGCTGTGTGTTAAAACCCGCGTCGAGGATGATTGGTGGTAGGAGGCCTAAGAATAAAATCTGCGGGTTTAATCCTGCATCGTGTACATGCTATAAAAAGTAAAAAGAGCGACAGAAGAAGAAGACAGAGAGAGAAGAGAGAAACCATTTAGTGTGTGACATGGCTACATATAGTGAAAACTATAAACATGGCTACAACAAACCCGACAAATAACGTACCGCTTTTGATATGAGAGTGAGTAAACCACCACTTAATAGACCACAGAAAATGGCCCAGGACGATGTGGATAGAAGTGGTGCTTTTTTCATACGATCAATACGGTAGGCTACATTTACAAGCAATAGTTGGATTACAGCACATACTAGAAGCTCTGCACCAGCCCAGCGCTGTGGATTCTCCTCAGCTTGCATTGGTTTTTTTTCAGTAGTATTTTTTTAACTGTGTTAAACGTTATTCACCCAAGCTCGAGAATGGGTTAAATCAAGTTAACTAGCAATCATGTATAAGTTTAATTATGTTGTTCATCTCTCTTACAAGTTGTATACACAACAAGGCTTCGAATACCTGTCATCACTCGAGGCGGCTGTTCGCCGTCGTTTGTAGCTTCATACCTCGTCTAATGTGCTTTTCCAGCAAGTGAAATTTGTGGATATCCGTCTTCCAAACCAACAACAATGGCATCTTAATGTTTTACAGCGTCAGACGCTCCAAGACGCCGAGTTTGTGCTTGTTCATCCTGCTATAGGAGCAAAACTACTGCTGGACTGTAGCCATTTCGTACAGAATCAAGATGTATCCACTTTGTTACAACGTGTAAAATGGGTACAGTCTACATATGCTGGTATTGACCCGTGTATTCAGTTACTCAATGGAAATGCGTCACCTCCGAGCTTTAGGCTTACACGGGCAGGAGGCATTGTGCAGAATACTGTGGCTCAGTACGTTATGGGATCGATCATTGCTATAGAACGCAGATTGTTCGAGGTATAGACATTCCAGAGAGAACGTATTTATGCTTGCAATGAACTTCAATATCGGTCGTCTCAACCAGTGACGTGGGTTAGGCGATATTGGCCAGGGCATTGGTCGCTTGCTGAAAACTGCTGGTTTTCGAGTTATTGGATTCAAACGACGTATCAACGTGGGAGATACTGAAAAACTACAGGAATGTGCCGACCGCGTGTCCAATAACTTGATCGACGTCTTGAGTGTGGCCAATTATGTCGTCAACATAATTGTTGACGACATAATTGGCCACCTCAAGACGTCTTTTGCCCAGTACGACTGCAACGCGCGGACTCTTGAATTTCAAGACATTGGAGGTTTGCAAACGTAATCGACTTGTATTCATCAACGTTGGGCGCGGGGATGTGATTACGGAGGAAGAACTAGTAGCGGTGCTGGATGAAGGACTGTTTTCAAAGGCGGTGCTGGATGAAGGACTGTTTAAGGGGGGTGGTGGATGAAGGATGTTTTCAAAGGCGGTGTTGGATGTGTTTGAACAAGAGCCATTGCCAAAGGAGAATCTTTTGTGAACCCATGCGTCGGTGTTACTGACCCCGCACGTGTCAGCATTAAGTCTTCCGGACGAAGTAGCAGATGTGTTTGTGAAGACTCTGGATTTGCGTCTAAATGAACAGCCGATGCTGTACGAAGTAGACTGGGCGAACGGATATTAACGAAACGGTCATCATGTAGCTTACTGCGTAGCACGTAAACATAGCTGACGCCAGGTCGCTCGGCTCAACATTTTCTTTCAAGACATTTGAATAGTATCGATCGAGGTAGCGTGCCAGCGGTCCGACCTGATCGCTTCCGCCACTTCGATCGTTACGTAGGAGACCGATGAAGACCAATACATCAACTCGTCGTGGTATTCTTCTCCGCGCTAATTTCGTGATCATCTTGATCGTTTGCAACTTCTAGTGAATCATAAAGCGGCTTTGGGTTGCACTCAAGCGAACATGCCCAAATTCTAAAGCACGGCTGTGATAGCCACATGACGACAATCATGGACATCATGGACTTGCTAGAGTAATTTGTCATCATCAGGCATTGTACAGCTTTGTCGCGCATCTACAACAAAACCAAACAAACTCTCGCCATGCGCTAAAACGCTGCTGTAAGGTTGTCGCTCGGCAAGTCTCGGCCTTGATCAACTTTCTCTCTACACTTCATCATCTAACGGCAACGACAACGGCAGTGCAAAGTAGATGCTTCTTGAACAGGTGACAAAACCAGCAGTTGCCTTCCTTTTTTGCGACTCATTCTTGCATACATGTCGAAACCCTGCGTGCAACGCGGACGTTTCAAACGCTGCAAAGAAGCTGCAGCATCAATATCAAGTTCTGAAGCTAGAAGATGATCCTCGGGTCTTGTAAACTTCTTGCACCTAACTTTGAGATAGACTAGCAGCAGTGAAAATTAGCGAGCTTGTTTTCAACATGTCATTCTATGTTCATTACTTTGCTCAAGTGCATGTCTTTAGTATCGTCGATTTCTATGTCAAGTCGAATAATATCGATGACAATGTAAAAGACTTCGGACGTCGTCGTCGTCATCATCATCGTCTCATTTCTTAGTTCCCAGAGTTTTGCTCACAACGTTACAAACTTGACGCATTCGCAGCGGATAGTTGAGCTTTTATCCTTTGGTCATACTCTTCTACAGTCGCTTATGACGAAAAAGCGCCAGCGAAGTGCTGATGTTCAAACTTTGGACCACGTTTCGCAGTCGATTGAACACAAGCAACAGAGCTCCACACTGACAACATTGGTGGACACAAATGAGAAACTTATGATACCAAGTGCATGACCGCGCTATCCGTGCACAGCAGGACGCGGCAGGACAAGAAGTGGCACTGCTGCCTATCTACATTGTGCACCGCCCCAAGCGCCATCGCTGCGGTTCCGTGCGGTTTCAATTCTTGCTTGAGGCGGTACTTGATCTTGCCAAGTCGATCGCAACCTGGGGCGGCCGCTTGCTGGTTCTGCGTGGAGACGCGGAGGAGGTGCTATCTACAATAATGGTGGCCTGGTGTGTCGCCGACTTTTTCTTCGAGACCGGTGTGATGCACTACGCCGTCGAGCGCGATAACCGCGTGCGCGCTATCACCAGTCTATGAATGTCAAGGTGCAGTCATTCCGCAAGGTTACACTTTACGACCCACATGAGATTATCGAAAAGAACGGCGGCCATCCCCCCACAATCTACGAGCGTCTGCTGGAAATCACGGACAAGATGGCACAACCAGCGGTGCCCATTGGAGTGCCTTTATCGCTTTCAAATGCGACGATGTTCAGTACGAGTGAACTGTTTGAATTGCTTAGACAACATGACAGCAGCACTGCTGATGCCATGGCTGGATTTGACATAGATACGAGCAACGCCGTCTGCAATTTGTTTGCTGTACCGCCACTCACGGAACTTGGCTTGGTTCCTCCAGACCCCCACACGCTTTTCATTAATGGGGAAAGCGAAGCGATGAAGAGATTGGACGTCTTCTGCGAGGATGAACGGCGCGTCGGGCTTTTTGAAAAGCCAAAAACTTCTCCTGTCGCAGTGGACGCTACCTTGAGCTCATATCTGATTTTTGGATGTCTAAGTGCACGCGAATTCTTCCATCGCATTATGTGCATTCAGCTTCAATTCCGGAATCGTCCAGATCCCACACAGGCCACACTTGAGGGCCAGCTCATGTGGCGCGAGTTTTTCTACTGTTATGCGTGTAGCACGTCGAATTTTGATTCACAGAGGCGGAATCCAGGACGCAAGCAAATTGCATGGAGGCTACTCGACGAAGAGTACGTAACACATCCTGAATTGGATCAAAATGATCTTGACGGCGTGACGGATGCGGACGAAAAGCTTGCGATGCACCAACTGCAGTGTTGGAAGGACGGACGCACGGGGTTTTCTTGGATTGACGATGTTATGCGACAGATTAACCAGGAAGACTGGATTCACTATGCTGGGCGTCACGCAATTGCTTGTTTTTTCACTCGCGGAGTACTCTACATTTCGTGGTTGCGTGGCGCAGTATACTGCCAGGGAAGAACATCGATATGGACTGGCCGGTTAATGTTGGGAACTGGCTTTGGGTGAGCGCAAGCAGCTTCTTTTCAAACTAACGTCGGGTGGCATCTCCGACCACGTTTCCGCAGCGATGGGATAACCAAGGAAACTTCATTTGCAAGTATATTCCTGCGCTCCGCAACATGCCGGACAAGTTTGTGCATGAACCATGGAAAGCGTCGATGAGAGAACAGCGCAAGGCAGACTGTCTTGTTGGAAAAGACCACCTCTTTCCAATCGTGGAAACCAAGCATGCCATGACGCGATGCTTTGTCAAATATGATCATAACTGTAGCACGCGACAAAAGCTGCAGCTCTTGTCCATTGACTTTGCTATAGTAAACCATTACTTGACCGCTTCAAGATCGTTCTTTTCTCTTTCAACGCAAAGTAGCATTTTATTCTTCATTATGGTGTAATGCAAGCGATCGAGAATCTGTTGGGAGACTCGATCCAAAAAATTTGGCTGAACACAAGACCGCTACGATTGGCCGATATGATACATGGGAAAGGTAGAGTGAATTGACTGCATCATTCGACCGCCAGAGTGGATCAACCTTAGGGGATCGGTGGCTGATGTTAATCACAGGATACAAAGGGACGATCATTACGGCAAAAGGACGACGCGTGGCGACGTAGCCTGGTATGTAGATAAGCGTCGTCTTGGGTTGGGTCTAGTAGGTAACATATCAGATCATTAATATTTGCTTCTACAAAACGTGTTCGACTTCGTCTTCCGGTCTAAATATTCGACAATAGGGTGAAGTGGGTTCTCAAAACTATGTAATGAGACCCCAAGCCACTCACTGTGCCGGACTGCTGCCGACCGAGACCCATCTTGAAAGACCGGAGACTGCCGATGAGGGATTAAGATCCACCTTGAAGGACCGAGGTCCACCGATGAGGGACCAAAGGTAGAACTTGAAGGACCGTTGTCCACCTTGAGAGACCGCGTTACGCTCTTTTGAATGGTGGCTAACAGGTTCCCTGGCAGGGGCTTTGACCGCGAATTCTTCCCATCCGACATTTGTTTACCCTTTATTTGCACCCTTTCTCTTTGGTCCATCGCCTAACGGTCGCTTCTCTTCTGTGGTCTCCTTTTTCTTTGGTCCACTTGGTGCTTAAGATCCCATATTTAAAAGTGCTTTACCACAGCCGTCCTCTGCACTTGATCAACGGTACGACCGCTTGCACACGCGCATGTCTTTGACTCGTCCATCACGTAAGTTCTTCCAGTCTTTTACGTGAGATATCTCTTGCCTGACTTTGTGTGGTCCTAGTTGTTACTTCCACTGGGTTAGACCTACCGCCTGAGGGGCCGGCCCCGGTCACTTACGCATTTTCTTGCCGACCGTGAGTTCCTGATCTCCATCTATTCTCGGATTAACTTCCTCAAAACGCCTGGGCCAGAGCCGTCAACGACAAATATGAGGTTGTCGGTGACGAGAGCCCACTGGCCCTTGATGACCCTCTACCCCAGCTTTGTCGACTCCCAAGTCTAGCTCCCCCGTGACCTACCTCCTGTTCCTTCGCCAGACCCGAGTGAAGACACGGCGAGCAACGATAGAAAGGTGGCCCGTGCGACTCTGATTTAATCGCGGTCTTCCGGACGACGCTCCATGTCGATAAGTCACTCGGTTTTAGATGACTCGACCGCCTATGTACCAATACCCGTTGTGCCCCGAGTCAATCATTGCTCCGGGCCATGTTCGGGTCCTCCGACTCAAAAGACCGAGTCGTTCTAGAGAAGAAGGCATTTGCTACACTTACAAAGACAGACTCCACCCCAAACGGGTCACCCTTGCTTCGTAATAGCGATTGTATCCTTGCATTTATGCAAGTGAAGTCATTCTATGCCGCGGGGTGGCGCCTTGGTTGGTCGACCTAGTCAGATCGTGGATTATCGCGACGATGGACCCTAGTGACTTATCCGACCACCTAGAGCTGCCTTTGGGTTTCTTCGGTCCACTGGACGGTATAATCGGTAGGCCTTCCAGTGGAAATCGTCTGGTTAACTCCGCTATGCTCAAGAGCCTGTTGGTTATCAGACCATGGTTGTCGGTACGGATCCCAAATTCACCTGTGCTTTCCAGCCATGTCGTTTGCACGCTGGAGGAAGCTAATATGCGATCCGACGAAGAACACAGCCCCCATGGATATCTGGGGACCAAGCGCGCACAAGCAACATCCTTGCTTATACTATACGCGCGAAAGAAGCGCGTAGTCGAGTGATTCGAGCGTGGCGAGGAATTATCAACCTCAACTTTAGAGGAATAATTAAAGGGCAATGCGACCTCACCATCCCTCTTGACCCGTCCTTCCAACACCTTCCTTGACCTCACTGCGTGGTCTAATGGTTTTCAGGCTGTGAGGAAGGGTGGAATACCCCTAACTTGCTGGAAGCTCTGCAGATATCCGACTCCACTTACCCGTGGCTTACCCAGTATCGTCTTTCGTCGGAGACTCATCCTGGGTACTCATTACCGCATCCGAAACAAGTTCGTCTTCACTCCTTAGGTTCTCCTTTAATATACTTGCATTCTTTTTCTTCTCGGTCGGTCATATACATTCTTCTGTTTTCGTCGTACATTTTTACTTCCTTCTGCCTTCAAACTTCATGTCAGTTCCTTTCCGTCATCATCTTGAAGACCGAGGCCTACCACTGACAGACCATGTTAGGCCTTAAAAGACTGAGATTTATCAACTATAGACTATGGTCAATCATCCAAAGACCTCGGAGTCCGCCGCTAGTCCTCATGACTTTGCAACACTTTAAATAGATTTTTCCATGTCTCATTACGCTCGAAATCTCTAAGTAAGTCCCCGCAGTTCAAACTCACCTCATCAACCCATGAGGAATTTGCATGACCTTTCCAACGAACGAAGAACTCCCGTTTCTGTCTCCCATATCGCGTATTCTTTCCAGGCGGGTTTCCAAGATCTCTTCAACCTCGTATTCACCCTCTTCAAGCTCTCTTATCCGACTGTCTTGTGGCAACAGGCCTTCATCAAAGTCGATTCGATCTGTTTTGTCCACCTCTAGCATGGTACTTAATCGGTCGGGGACCTCTCTAACCCTCTTGAGCTTAGAAAGATGTATGATCGGGCATGGAAACTGTACTCCGTGCCTGAGTTTCCAAACGTGCCGCGTACTCACCCGCCAATTCCAGAAGTCGAAAAGTTTTATACGTGGGCCAACTTTTTAACGTACCATTCTTTCACTATGTCCAGGTACAGCCATCCATGGGTCCCTGGCTGAATCTTGTGGTCGACCACTCCTTCGTTGTGCGCTAGCACCTGGGATCGCTGATAGTGTCGCTGAATGAAGTATCTCCATCTTTGAGGTTCAGACTCCCGAAGTATATTATTTGCTACTGGTAAAGTAGCTTCAAGGGTGGTTCTAGCATCCCAACCATGAACCAGATAAAATGGTGTCTTCTTCCGCACTCGGTCTTGAGCGGTGTTCATCGCAAACGCAAAGCGTTCTGCATACTCAATTCAGTCCCGCTGTCCGACGTCAAAACATACAATTTGATGGACCTAGGCAGGGTCTAAAACATCCTCTCTGAGGTGCCACTTGCCTGAGGTTGATAGGCCATGGTCGATTGCCGACGCTGGCTCACCATGCGACCAAACTCTCGAAAGAAATCCGACATAAACCCTAGCTCTCGATCGTGGAGGATTACCTCACTACCACCAAAACGGCGAATAACGCATCCTTCATACCCTTCAAATATCGTCGGGGCCGTTCGCGAAGCACTATCCTTGGCCATCACATACTCCGTGAACAGGTCAACCCAAATAAGTAGCTCGGTATTTCCGCTGTGTGGCCTGGGCAGAGAGGGAATATGAACCATTGCTATAATCTGAAAAGGGTATATTGCTTCGACATTTCCTGGAGTTTTGTCCTGCAGGGTAGGTCCTCCTTTCCCATTCTCGCAATGCACACATGTGCTCACATACCTCTGTACGTTTCGGAACATGCCCATCCAATGGAAGTACCGCCAAATCCGGTGGCAGGTACGTCAGATCCCTTGGTGACCACCTTCCAAACTCATGCGGGAAAAAATGACAGTTTGGAGACTTTCGGTTATCACCAATCGTGCTGTCGCCTCTCGGTCGTCTCCCTCGACCCTCAGAACGGAACAATACACTATTAGCCCTCCTTCGCTTATCTCGTAATCCCTGGCCATATTACTGCGCGATCGAGTGGACTACATCAACAGGTCGACCTAATATCCCTTCAAGTATGCTTTCAAATCTCGCGCCCAGTCTTCTTGCTCTTGTGCCTCCCTGATTCGATCTGCCGGAGTCTTTGTATCACGTCCTCTTATATGATCTTCGCTGATATTCGGATGGGGGACTGTGATCGGGTCACTGAAAACATCTTAACCGATAGGCTCCGGTACTTGGGGACTAGCAGCTCTAGCAATCGATTGATTGCTTCTATACTGGCTATTCTTCCCCCGGTACCAACTTGATCCCTTTTTTATTCTTTTTTGCAAGGCCTTGCTGGATAATTGATCGGCCCACTGGTTCCAATCACGTTTTACGTGTACAGCTAATTTCGTAGGCGACAATAGCTTATTCAAAGCTCTTGCTCGTAACGCGACAGAATTGACGCCTTACACTCAATCTCTCCCCCGCGTATTTGTTTTTGTAGCAGCAAGTTCGAGTCCCCACAGATAATCTATCGACGTCGTTCTAGGGACTCTAACAGTTCAAAACCCCGGTCTTTCAAGGTGGACCTCGGTTATTTTTAAGGTCGATTATGGTCTTTTATCGGTAGGCCTCGTTCTCTCAAGGTGTTGAGCGGAAGTAAGTAACATGTAAATCAAAGGTAGCAGAAGGACCTACATGACAGACGAGTCAAAGTCTTGCGGCTGGTCAAACAGCTAATCAGTTGAGCAAGTGCAGGGTGCGGCTGTAGTGAAGTAATTTCAAAATGTAGAAAGCCAAGGACCGGTGGACCGGAGAGAAAGCAGACCAGGTCCTTTGTCGGTAGTCCCTCGACGCCTCCCTAGAGGTCG